TCACCACCATATCCGCTGTAATCATAACCACCGTAACCTCCGTAACCGCCGCTGTAGTAATCGTATCCCCCGTAACCGTCGTACCCACCGCCGTAGCCACCTTGGCCGTAGCCACCTCCGTAACCGCCTCCGTAGCCTTGTCCCCAACCACCTTGTCCTCCGAATCCACGACCCCGACCACCGCGAGCTCCTCTTCCTCTACCCATCATTCCGCCACGCATTCCACCCATTCCATCCAATTTAGGTGTTGCCTTTTTTACATCCACCTGTTGAACAAGATCCAAATCAATCAAAAAATTGCGTTTGTTCACTTTAGAATAGAAAAAAGTTAAGTTTTAATAAAAAAGATTAATAAAACTCACAGCTTTTCCGTTGATAGTCTGTTTGGGTGTCTTAAGAAGTTCGTTCACCACTTGTTCGGATTCAAATGTAATAAAGCAGAAACCTTTCCTTTGGTTCTTTGTCTTATCAAATGGCATCTCTACTTCGACAATCTGGAAAAGAAACATATAATTACTTTTTCTTTCGACTTATTCCTTGCATTTGTTTCCAAATAAAAAATATTTACAGTTCCAAATTGTGAAAAAAAGTTTTTGATGTCATCATCAGATAATTCCGTCGAAAGACCACCAACGAAGATCTTTCCATGCCTAGCTTTCGCTTTCTTGGGATCAACTTTTTTGTTGTTGATAACATGATCGCCAGCTGACATAATCTACATAAGAAATAATTATATTCAGTCAAGAACAATATACGTTAAAAAATATACGTATATGTACATATATATTTGTAACCCTTTTATTTTAATATTTATAGATAAAAAAAAAATAAATTACCTTATCAAGAGCTTCAGCCTTTGCAAAAACAATAAAGGCAAAACCTCTCGATCTTCCTGTGTTGGGATCTGTTTTGACATTAATACTCTCAATGTCGCCATAAGTGCTAAAATGTTCTCTTAATTCCTCTGAAACAAATTAAAGATCCATGACAGATTTCTGGATAAAATGCAATCTATCGGCGATTAAAAATTACTAAATGTAAAGGTACTCACTGTCAGTAGTCTCCCAGCTTAAACCACCGACAAATAATTTTCTGTAAATAAACAGAATAAAAAATTTTAATCAAATGTAATAGAGAATAAACGTATTTGTCGCCCTACTTTCAAACTTTCCAACCACTATCGCGGTGTTACGATAAATGTAGTAATATTTTAATTAAACTTCTATAGGCACACAAGTTAAAAAATAAACGAAAAAGAGAAATAGGAATTGAATGTGCCTATATCAATCATCTTGATTACTTCCGGTCAACCTGCAAAGCAATGGAACTAATTTATTTTACCAAAGGAAGAACAGAGATTTTTTACAGATATTAAACTAATTGCTTCTAATGAATTTAATGTTGATTTAATGTCATTCCTGTGCAAATTAAAGTTGTACTACAATTTAATAGAATGCAATTGATGGATGATCCATGATGCTATCTGGAAAAGGCACTGCAAAAAATTTTGTTGTATTTAACAAGCACGATAATAGCTATTTCTAATTACAGAAAATAGGAATTCCAATTGCAGCAATATACAATGTAGGTGTTGCTCTACATATAGATTTGGAAAAATAAACGTTCCTTGCGTATGAGACTAAACAAGATTTGTTATACTGATAATAAGAGAGGTAAAAAAAGTTACAAGATACCATATTCCTAGAACAAATCAACTTTTATCAAGATAAATGTATGTTATTGTACAAATTACATATGTAGTTGCTACGCGATAGCGTAGTAAAATTGAAGTTACGGAGAGACGGCGGCTTTACGCACCTCACAGGTCAACTCGATTTGAACACCATATATAACAAGTTTGATATAACAAGTGAAAAGTATTAAAGGAAAAGTTTTAGAAAAAAAGTACATATGCATAAATATGTTATATGTGTATATGTGTGTGTAATAGAAAAAAAACGCATCAAAAAAAAGCAAAGTACTGTTATGATGATCCAAATAAGCTACAACTCCAGTTGAGATACTGCTGCCCCTAAAGAAAATACAAATAACTTCTCTAAAGTTATAATGAAATCCCGATTATTAATTGGCCCAAATTAGTGGCATGTGGTAGATCGACTGCAACTCTATATTGGAAAGCTAAAAATTAATTTCCACATTACAATAGATTAATATTGGTCACTGCATGATTTTGCTTTTTGTTCTTATCTCTTATTCTTTATTTTTTTTACTTGAGTTCTTTTTAAACAACATTATTATGCATTACATCAGACACTTGTACATATAAGGATACTTTATCTTACAATTCATCAAGAAGGCTTACATTACATACGACTTGTCTTGAGTCTCGAGATACATTTGTCATACTTTTTTTCACATTCAAATAACAAGCTGCAATATGTACACATTTTGCTCTTTTTATCTTTTCCTTAACTTTTTTTCCAGCGATGTTAAGTCTGTACTTATATGTTTATTGAGAGAGAGAGATATATATATATATATATACATATGTCATTTTCATATCATCTATTGCTGATGATAAATACCATGGGTACCAGTCTCTCGCCGGTATCTGTTGTCAGGTCAGGTCACAGTTAGCCGGTTGCAAGCAGCCCGCCATAATCGCACTGGGACGTTTTAGCCACCTGCAGACCAAGTCACAGAAACTGCGTTAATGGCGTTCCGGGGTCTATTGGAGATGTTTGCATTGGCCCTAGTGTCTCTGTGCATTTGCTCATGCCCAAATAATCCAAATATCACTCGAATCAGCGGAAATTACTCTACTCTGTATTATCCAGCAGGCAAGTATGTGTCGCTGCGACACACATATTTGATCTCAAGTAACATTTAACTCGATTTGACTCCAGGTCGACTTTTGTGTCGTGACGTAACATGATGGACTTGAGAACTCGATGCTCGATTGTTCACAATAATTCCGACCCCAAAGCTCATTCACGAAGCCTCACAGTTCAATTCAGAGAGATCCCACACAAGCATCGGACGGATTTGTCAATCGTTTTCGAGCAATTGACTAATCTGAATTTGACCGTAAACTGTACTGTGAATAAGGAAAGGATGACTCGTAACTTGTTCAAATGTGGATTTTTAAAATTATATTCTATAAAAAAAAATAGAAATACAAATGTTATTTCTTAGAGAATATATATTATGGATCTACATATACATACAAACTTTATCAATGATGAAATTGTGACTGCCTTCCATTAATTATAGGACTAGAAGAAAGTTTAAATCGGCTAAGAGAACAGAAAGAAAAAATTTACAAAAAAAGTTAGAAAGCTTGAAAAACAACAGATGGACACATACCTCATAACAAATAACAACACATGTGTAAAAGTTGTGATCACAGTATAGTAATGAACATAATTACATATTTACCTTATCTTTATATTTGACTAAGCAATATATTTCAAACAGATTTACTACGAGTGCATAAGGTATCGGTAGGACGCAATAAAATTGTTCAATTGTATATAAAATTCACACTTTGTTTATATTTTTGTATATAAAAATATCTAACTTGTAAATAATTCGTTTGTGACAAATAGGGTACCAAGTTGCAAAGTGACGTCAGATCTGTCGTACTCTGCCTTTCAAACGACGCGAGCATGAACGACATTATCACAGCAATGAAGGGAGGGTGGGGGTGAGGAAGAGGGAAGGAAGAAAGAAATAAAGCGGCAAAAAAATAATCGAACGTGAATGTGGAAAACAACGTGCGAAACATGCGACGCGGAGTCTTTTTGTTATATACGAGTCGGCCGGTCGGCGCGGCGGCGAGAAAAAGAGGAAAAAAAGACGCGTCCGAGCTACGACAACAATAATGTAACTCCGTCGCATTCAGAAGACGCAAAAAAAAACGCACCGGCGAATGCGTCGCGGCATGATCGCGGGAGCGAGCGATCAGCGAGAGAAGTGCGACCGATGCGCGTGGATTACATTTCGTCTGAAATCGGCCCATCGCCATCTTGTCCGTACCGTGTCGGAAGCGGAGATCCATCGCAAGAGACGCCGACCGATTTCGCGGGAAAACGCCTCGGCGGGACGCAACCGCCGCAATTGGAATCAGTAGTACCGTTACCGGGATACCGAGGGACGCCGGGTGCCATGAACTATGCCTGATCACGGTCGTCGGATCGTATCGAATTTCTCAATAGGCTGATAAAAGAACGTAAAAACTCTTACCTGTCCTCCTGTGAGTCCTGGCCGTTCTCCATGGCGTCCCCGCCGCCTCCTCCGATACCACTCTCAGCCTCGCCGTTCTTCTCGAAATTTTGCTCTGCTATGTCCTCACTGAAGTCCTTGTTCTCTTGCTGATCAGCCATTGTTTATAGTCGCGTTTTATGCACTCGCTGCGTCAATGATACAAGGGAAGATCGAGAATGTAGAAAATAATCACAATCGCACTTATATCGGAGGACGACTGCGGCGAGACGGATCCACGGTCAAGGGAGACAGAATTAAGTGAGAGACGATTAATTATGAGGAATATCCGCGTCGGTTTCAGAAGGTCGATTGACCTGTCCTCTATAGGCAGGAATGCGAAAACCGAATTGGACAAATTCGAATCTCGACCAATCGGGATTTATTGAAGTTATATCGATATTATGAAACTGGCCAATTATAACGATTCCTCTGATAAATGGAATGGCTGCGTTCAGCAGAGAAGGCAGCTTTTTAAATGTCAATTAATTCTTTAATATAATTGTCTTTTACCCTTAGTCTTCATTGGATTTAAAAATAAATCAATCAATCATCTTCAAGATTTTACAACAAAAAAGCAAAGCTGCTTTTTCTACTGAACGCAGCCACGACTGATCTGCTTGGCAATTGGTTGCACTTTTTACACTCAGTATCTTTTCTTTTTCTCGCAATGCGACAGATCTATTTTCATTTGTGCAGGTGCTATTAGATGGCACTACCAGAGCGCTGTCAAGAATTCGCCGACAATGGTTTTGTTGGTCCCTCCCCTTCCCTCTTTGTGGTCGGCATCTGGCCTCGCGCGATGATTAGATTAATTAGATCGTACGGTTAGGATTGTCTAGTTTGTAGGTATTGACTGATTTACATTTGTTATTATGGCTTCCTTGGTTGCGGATTACGGGACTTCCTCCGGTTCGGATGGCGAGACGGATGACGACGTTTCGGACAATGCGTAAGTTTGGGCCGTTGCGTAAAAGCCGCCCTCCGCGAATTCCGATTCTGTCCTACTTTCTTTCCTTTTTTTCTTCCCGTACTCACAGGCGCGATTCCGCTCCAGTTTGAGCTTCCGTAAAATGCACAATGCTGACAAACATTTCTGTCTAAAGTGAAACTGGCGGAATCTGTCACATTATAAAATGAGAATTAAAGTTTGACAAATTCTAACGCGAGAAGCTTGACACATCAGATGCTTTCTACCAAGAGATACAATAGTCATTTATAATTTTTTATTTCTTACTTTCGCCAAATATCAAATATATATCTATTTTAAGTTCCAAAAACAATATTTCAGTTGTAGAAAACAGACCTGCAGTAGTAAAGTGATTATTTTATTTTTGTTTAATATTTGCAAACAAAACAAGGATGTGTATTTATTTCTGTCAGTATAGAGTAATTTTAATTTAATCTACTTTTTACCTTCTAGAATAAAAATTAGTTAAAAAATGATAAAGAGTGAAGAAAATTTAAATTAAAGTTAATTTACATTGATAGAAATAAGCTGTAATGATTCACTGTGTCTACAATGTACTTACTCTCTACTTCCTGTTTCTTACTTTTTATCTCTATTTTTCTTTTTTACAACTGTTTTATAATGCTGGTATTTCTTGTCTTTTTTAAAGTTTATTAACTTAAATCTCGAGCGACAGAGAAACTAAATAAAAAGAAGAAAGAGATAAAAAGTAAGAAACAGGAAGCAAATAGCATAGTAGAGCAGGCTTAAGAATTAAGGGATATGTTCCTTAATATTATTGTCAACATTATAATTAAAACAAAAATATTTTACCAAGCATTCATTTAAATTCGGCAACCGGTATATACATACAGAATGCGGCTTGTTCTTTGTAATCTGATATTGCCTCACCGTTAGCTTTAAGGGTGTGGAGAAGGTGGATTCAGATGGGGAGGATGAAGAAGAAGAGGATAGCAAAGAGGAGGACAACAGGGATAATGGTGGACACATGAGAATAACTGAAACAACAGCTTCCAAAGAAAAACTTCCATTACCCACGCCAGATTTCAACAGCGCGTCTACGTTACTGAGGACTTCAGTATTCCTGAATCCGTTTGTTGAAGCGGAGCGAGCGAAAAGCGCAATCCTGGAGAAGCATGTAAAAATGACGCCCACGCTGGACGACACAAAGATGATAAATGGTCGTAAGATCTGCTGGAACTATCGGAAGGGTCGTTGTCGTTTCGGCCACAATTGTACTTTTGCCCACGACTCGGATCTGCATCGCAGCGCGGCTGAATTGGAGGCCCTACGAACGCCACAGGAAACGCTGGTCTGTCAAACTCGGTATAACGGGCAGCAGCAACAACAGCTGCAGCAGATACTGCCACCCCCGAACGACGACGAGAATGAGGTAGATCAGGAGAATAATCAGACAGTAAACAGAAAGCGTAAGAAAAGGCCCGGTCTGTGCCAATTGTTACTTCCGAGTAAGAAAGTTTATAAGCAGTTTAAAGCGCAACAACAACAGCAACAACAAACCAAAACTAGATGAATACTATTTCTTTATTTGGCGTAGTAATAGGTTGATGAAATTGTCTTCTAGCTCAGTCGTTACATATTTTTTGCAAATCGGAAAATACGCGCAATTTGCATTTCTCCGAAATATTAAACAGACTTTACGGACGCTTTTAATAAACAAAAATAATAAAAGAAATAATTTGGCAAACATTTTAGAAAATAGAAATTGTGAGAAAGTAAAAATTATAGAAGAAAAGATCACAGCGAATAATTTTGAATTCGTTCTTGTATTATGCTTTTGAGAATTGAATTCTCATTTTTATCGACAAAGTAGAACCCATTAGTGTACAGCGATGAGACCGAGATCTCGCATATCTCGTCTAAAATCTAGATTAATATTTATTTAAACGATTGCGCAAACAAAAAAATTGATAGATATTTAAAGGAAAAAGAAAAAATTCCGACTTATGCTTCCAATATGAAGAAACATACGATGTGTAGAATAGGAACTTTATTTAAGAGAAACTTTTGTCTCATATAAATTCGCAAGACTATCCAATGTGTGCACAAAACGGCGCGTATGCGTATTCTTCTTAAGATTCGTCTTTTGTAATGCAATGTACGAGTAAATCATGTCTTCTCGTTATTTTATTTTCTCACGTTCATCATCATTAGCTAATTATTTACTAAAATACTAAATATTTGATAATACTGTTTGTAAGAATGTTTATTCAAATAACATTCTACGATTGAATTCATACACTAAGGATGTATTGTAATATCATGATATTTGACGAATTAGGAATATATCTCGCTTTCCGTTCTTTATACCGACAGGCGAAGAAACATCCTGTATACCTGACACAATAATACTTCCATGCGTTTTTGTGAATTTAGGAGTAATCCAAGCGCAATTGCTTGATTATATCCTTTTTATAAAAGATAAATATTTATTTTACATTTCCTTATACTGCGATCGATGAGACAAATTCGATACTCTTAAATCAGATGTAAATCAGATGTTACAATACTTGTAGATATTATGAATGATGGAAAAGTTGTTTAGTAATACATTAATCTTTTTAATGAAAAAGTAATAGATCGAAATAAAATAGAAAAATCATAACAAACTAAATGTTTACTTTCCACTTTAAGTGGTTAAACAGTGTTTTACTAATATGTTAATTGTCTGTTGGAAGAAAGGATGATAATAATAAATAATTATGAAATAATAGATCAAAATAAGAGAAACAGTGTGGAAAACTAAAAGTTTATCTAAACTGTAACTCTTGAAAAAAAGAGGTTCCTCATTTCTGAGGATTTCTATAATAACAGGTTGCCAATAAATGATTCAGCTGTGCTGAAACAATGTCTTGTGTTTGATTTGTATTCTCTTCTGTACCTAATATATTAATAAAATGCGTAATAAGCGTATGAATGAAACCTTTAAAAAAGTGCTACAGCAAATATTTAAAGTTTAGTTTAATTATTTAATTAGAAAAAATAGATTAATTAGAAAAATAATAGAATAAAAATTAATCTTTAAAATTTTTTATTCAAGATTATTCAAAAATCTAAATGGAAAAGAAATAACTAAAAGTAAGAAAATTAACTTTTTACTTAAAAGAAAGAGGATTTCTTGAAACGTTTTGAATAGGTTTAGCACATGGCGGAGACATAAGACATGATAGGCACGTGACATTGTTTTATTAGACGCTTATGGATACAACGTTCTGTTTTTCAAATCCATTATCTACGTAAACTGAGTGCGTATAACTCACCGTTGCATCATCGAATGAAAATATAGACTTTTCGTGTTTTTATACATATATATATTTTATAATATATACATATATATTTCTTTCTCTTTATTTCCGCGAATGAATGTTTCACAGGCACTTCATCTCTAAACAGTAGCAAAAATTTGTGAGTAATTACTCTGGCGTGTAGAAAATGCGAAAGCGACACGTATGGATAAGCGTCATCGCAGAATTCATCACCAAGTTTTAGGGTCACGAGCAAATGTACAAGTTCCCGCAAGTTACTTTTCTATCATCTCTCTTTCCAACAAATCTCTTGTCCCGCTATCTGTGAGATCTCTCGCAATTACATCGACAACACATATTACAATTAATCACAGAAATAGTAGATTCAAAAATAATTGCGCCACATTATATACAATTAACTTAATTACTTCTATAGGCAAGAGCACCTATTAAGTACTGATATATTCGATCGTTAAAAGTTCGCCGTGATTGCAACAACAGGTTGTTTTACACCATTGCCACATTTTTTGAGTGAGTTATCAGATTACAATTTCTTGAGATCTAAAGAATTAGGAATAATAAAATACCTATATTCTAAAAAATATATACAAATCTCTGAGAAAGCTTGAGAATATTCTATAAAAGAAAGAGAAAACTTTGGTTTGCCCGACGATCTCATTCTCGTATTAATTGCTCGAAAATATTTCGCGCAAATACAGCCTCGTACTATCTTTAATCCTTAGTTAGGAAATATAATTCAATTTTCTTTTATATAAAAATTGAAATCTAAAATTCAGAAAAATTTAATTTAAAAAATAAAATTTATATAAATATCCATATATATATTGTGGATAGCTTTTTAAAAACAGTAGTAAAAGTAATATTGGATAACACTTCAACAAATGTTATACAAGTTTTAATCTTTCTCTTTAATTAAATAAAAAATTATTCTATGCAATTAAATGAGTTAAATTTAAGCTAAAGATTAAATTTACTTTTAAAAAATTCACAAATCCGATCTTAGCTAGAAGATAAAAAAATATTATATTCCGAGGAATTTTGTAATGAAGTTGCCGCAAGTAAATTCGTGTTTCAAGAATTTTGTGAAATATCTTGATATTAATTTCTTTAAAAAAATAAAATAAAACTCCTGTACAATTCAAATATAAACTTGGAAAGAAAAGGGCACTAAGAATTAAGCGCAGATAACTTTACGCAAACGCTGATATATATCAAGCAAAACTTATTTTTTATTTATAATTTATTTATGTAATTTGCATTGTCTCTAAAGAAGGCTAAAAAATAAGCCGAAACATGTAAGCACAATTATTATAATAAATAAGTTTTGCGTGATATATATCAGCGTTTGCGTAGTTATCTGCGCTTAACTCCTAGTGCTCCTTTCTTTCTAAGTTTATATTTTAATTTCTTTTCTAGTACACATGCCGTACATGTACAAATTTACATAAGTATTAAAGATCTGATAGCTCACTTTAAAACTTCGTTTTTAAACTTCGATATCGCATTACTATATCGCAAAATACTAATTGTTAGAACAAATTTTTAACATCTTTTGTGATTTTGTTTTTGTTTTTTGACGTTAAGTACATTATAAAGATATTTAACATATTTAAATTCCTTGCATTAAACAAATTTTGTGATAGATCCAAGAGAAATTTCTAATAATTTCTTAGGATATGTGGCCGATAATATTGTTTTCTCAAATGCTCGATATTTCTCTTTCTCAAGCTCAAAACATTGATTTCTTGTAATACGATACACGCATTTCTCTATCACAATCATTCTTTCGAGCTTTCAAAAGTTGTTGGACAATACATGAGGCATATGAAGAGTAAACTAGAATAAAATAAAGTACAAATACTTCGTGCATCAATGCACATCGCTCATTCAGTGGAGCTGTATTGAAAACTTGCTAGGACCTCGTTTCATCAATGTCGCGTAACTTTCACTTTTGTTCAATTCATTTTTAATTCTTCTTTAGCTCATTCCTTATCTCCTCTTTTCTGTATAAATTCAAGAAGAAATGATGTGAGAATTGTGATGAAACTTATCAAATATCATACAAAGGACGAAAATGACAATTTTAATCGATATTTCTTACAAATATTATTTTTTCATTTGAAATTTTAGAGATTTTTTAAAATTGTAAGAAAATGTTAGAGAATGAAAAATTTATTATTTAAAAATCTTTTTAATATCTTAAGATTTTCTGAAATTCGTGAAAATTTCGTCATATTCTTGGAAGATTTATGTCGGATCCGAATTCGGATCCAACTTTAATCGACGTTGACGAAACTTGGCCGTAAGACCCTCCATGAATATTCCTTAAGTACGACACGCAAGTTTGATTAAAAAATAGATATTATCTGTGTGAAATTTTAGAAGTCTATCGTACTAGCAGTTGTTTACTCAATATATTGATTCAGATAAGATTCGCACCAATACTGAACATAAGTCTTTTATAGTTCAGAACTGTTTGCGAATTGTTTATTATTAAGAGACTTTGTTTCTTTAATTTTGCGTATATCCTTCCATTAGAATCCATTCTTTTGCGATTTATCAACTTTTAACTCTCGCAAACTCTTGTCGGGCCTCATGGTTGAATTACCATTTCGAATTTCTGGTTCTTGACCATCGCCGTTTATGTTACATCGCTCGGCAAATGTCGCCTTACCGTTGGTCAAACCATTTCGAGCGCCATTGATGCTCTTATTGACGATCATCTGTTGACAGTTAATCGAACTCAATGTGTTACCGGCTTTGCAATCAATTCCGTTACTTTGTATTGTGGTCGTTAGACTCTTCGAAATCGGAATACTTTTATTATCCGCCAATTGTATAGTGCCTGCAAAATGAAATGTCAAGCACTATTCATTTACATTCAGATACAGTAGTTACTGTTTATTAATAATCTCAGTAATTGCTATTTAATTTTATATGTTGAAATATGTGAAGCTTGAATGGCCAAACAAGTTTAAATCATTGAGCCACGTGTTTATATATAGTATAAGAAATAAACTTTTTTAGTCAGGTCAGATGCAAAAAGATATAAAAAATGAATATATTTATGTAACAGAAAAAGTAGATTTTCTAGTTGCAGGATTTAAATACATCAATACAATACCATGCAAGTTGTGGCAGTATTTATTGGTGCTATTCCATTCCTCGCGTAAGCTGAGATTAAACATGCTGTAGTCTGGATTACCGGTGACTTCCTTCTCGATTGTAAGAAATTGAGGCAAAATGTTTTTCAACTCATCAGCCGTCAATGCCGTGTACGTTTCAAGTAACATCAAGCCTCGACATCTATAAAATATGCACAAAGTTAGATTATTTAGAGTGATACGATGTTTTTTCTTCTCTTCCGAATAAGTTCATACATAAGAACGAAGCAAAAGTCTTTGTAGAAGCGAAAAAGACGCGCCTTTTGAAAGCTAAATATTTTAACATCTTTAATAATCTCTGAATCTTGAAATTAATTATAATCGAAATATTTCTCGATATATTTTTCGATATATTTTGCATTATTACGACAAGTATGGAGAGATTAATTGTGCAAAATATTTTGGATTTACTAAGTTTACTTTTTATTGATTCTTCGATAAATATAGAATCGATTTTTTCATCGAAAATGAATAGATTTCAATATTTCAATTAAATCTTGAGAAATTGTATTACCTGGGATGCGCCGGTTCTCTGTATATGTCTAATTGAAAATACTGATTGTTGATCAGAAAGCAACGACGACGTTTGAAGATAGTGAAGTGCGAGTCGTCGCGCTGGGCCAACATATTCAGGTAGTCTCGATGCGTCAGCTGGGTCTTCACCTCGATTACTTGGCCGCATATTTTTGGTCGGCGAATTGTATGAATATATGACCAGTGACCTAATATAAAGAATAAAACATTCAAATTATATCATTATTCGAATCTTTATTCAATGTAAAAAAATTGAGTGTGACAATGATGCGTTATTAATTCAAAAACTTACCAAAAATTTTATGAAATTTTTCCATGATAATAATAATAATAAACTTCTTTGTTTCTCAAGTGATAACACATTTTATGAACAATTGGATCACGAAAGAGAACAATATGATTTACCTTTCTGACCCCGTTTGCGTAAACGAGCCTGCATCTTGGGATTGTTGCTCTGGAGGTAATTATGCACGACATCGAAGTCCTGGAAAGGCG